TGTGGAAGACCGTTAAAATCCAAACTATAGCACCCACATTGACCCAATGAGGCAGGTATTCCTCTTCTTCTTCTTCTTCTTCCTCTTCTTCTTCTTCTTCTTCTTCTTCTTCTTCTTCTTCTTCTTCTTCTTCTTCTTCTTCTTCTTTGCTTAAATTCTTTTATCAATACATTTTACATATACAATATGTTTACATTTATCATTGGGTGCTTGTACCTGTACATGATGTATCTTGGTTCTTATTTTTTCCCCATTACCTGTGCACCTTTTGCTTCTTCTTCTTCTTCTTCTTCTTCTTCTTCTTCTTCTTCTTCTTCTTCTTCTTCTTCTTCTTCTTCTTCTTCTTCTTCTTCTTCTTCTTTGTTGTTTTTTTTTTTCTTGAGACAAGGTCTCGCTTTGTGTTCAGGCTGGCCCTGAACTCATTTTGTACCCCAGGCTGGCCTCAAATTTGTGGCAATCCTCCTGCCTCTGCCTCCTGAGTGCTGGGATTACAGGCATGCACCACCATGCCTGGCGCCCATATATTTCTTCTTATATTTTTTCTTCTTCATCTTAACATGTTCTGGCAATGGGCTTCAGAGACTAGCAGTAGTAACTCCTAGACTTTAAAGAACACTGGTACCAGATGTGCAAGCCTATAATCACAGCACCCCAAGAGGCTGAGGCAGGAAGATCCCAAATTTGAACCCTATCTTAGCGACTCAGAAACTTAGTGAGACTCTGTGTCAAAATTAAAAATTAAAAAGAGATAAGGATGTAACTCAGTACAAAGGCCCTGGGTTCAATCTCCAGTACCAGAAACGAGAGGAAACACTGTTGATCTACTTAGTGGTTGGGCAAGAAGGCAATTTTGAAATTTTGGAGGGAGGAAGATTGGACTGGTGTGATCGGAGGACACTAGTGATATTTAATGAGGTGACCCCCAAGTCCTGCACGTCCTGCCCGTCACATTCAATGTCGTAAAGGAATTGTTTTGAACTTGATGATAGGTAAGGCCTGAGGGATTTGCAAGAATACCCTACTGCCTAGTTTCCCTCCACAAGCCATCACTTATGCTGGTTTCCCACTCCTCTTCCACATCAGAGGTCTGCCTCCATCTTCTGTCTCTCGCGAATTAGTCAACTTTGTCAATATATGTTGGCTTTTATCCCCCTGTCCAGCTGTTCAGCTGCTTTCTCAAGCTCGGTCCTTCTAGAAAATAACTCCTGGTTGCCTCAATTGTCCTGAATCCAAGGTTGTTCACTGTAAACAGCTCCCAGGCACCGTTTCCCTATGTCCTCTGCAGAATAGCTCAGCCTCTTTGCAAATGCAGTTTTACTAGAAAACTTGGGCTTGGAGTGAGGCCCACAGATAGGCAGACACTTGCCATTGGAAAGGTGTCTTGTTATCACTGTTCATAGGAGGAGGGGGCCGTCACGCCATGGGGGGCACCCACAGAAGCACTGGGGTTGGTCATGAAGCCAGGGAGGGGACAGTGTGGGCAGGAGGCCTTGCTGCAGTTCCCACAGCCCACACAGGCTTCGGGGCCATCTCAGTGGGCTCGAGCAGAGGGCTGGCCCTGGACCATGAGGCCAGGTGTGCAGTGACCAGAGCAGGCTCACTTAGGGACATGGTGGGGTGTGGTTGGCTTGCATTTGAAAAATGCACTGGGCTCGTGGGCAGCTAGTGTGCCCTCTCTAGGAACCGGCTGTTCTTGGTCTCTCTGAGGATGGTGGGGCACCATCTTTTCTAAGCTTGATGCCTTGGTCAATTGCAATAGAGCATTTCCCCTTTGTTCCAGTGGGGCCTTCCTTCTTGAGAAGGCAACCTTGATAGCTTCCATGGTGCTTAGTCCTTCGGGTAAGAAATGAACCCCAGGATTCCCAACATCACCAGCTGGCGTGGCTCATGTGTCTCTTTTGCCCGATGGGGTAGTATTTATTTAGGGTTTGCTATGTGGCAAGATATGCAAAGAAATCAGGACATTAAAGTCCTCAACGAGCTCCATAACGCCCATAATATCATTTCATCCATTCTGCAGGCTGGAGACTTAGAGAGCTCGAAGAACCTGCCCCAGATCTATCGGGGGAGCGGCCCCTTGGGGACCTAATCAAGTCACACTCAGGCTAGTGTTTTCCCTCAGCCATGGTGACCTGCACCTCACTCCACAAAGGCCCACCAGATCTTACCAGCAGGACCTGGGGGTGAGTAGACATGGAGCTTGCGAGGCCACAGAGAAGCACCTAAAGCCTCCAGGAAGGGGACCTGGATGCACAGTTACCGCCAGGAACCAGGAGGCTTGTGGGGCTCCAAGAGCACACGGGAAGCCCCATGGAAATCCTTGGTAAACTGGGTCCAATTTCCCTCAGAAGTGACAAAGCAGAGGTGGCCAGCAGGACCCTTCCCAGTACTAGTGAGAAGAGGTCCCTGAATAGCCACCAACAGGGATTCCGCACTCGGAGGAGAGACTTGAGCAAGGCTCACATCCTTCCGTCTCAGTCTCTCTTGGCACTGAGACACTCACAACTTACAATGAATGAGAAGTTTATTTTGGCTCATGTTTCAGTCTACAGTCGGCCAGGTCAAAGGCAGGGTGGTGTGGCAGAGGAGCCTGGGGCCCTGCAGCTCAAGGCATGGAGAACAGGAAGCAGGAGGCAGAGACTGAAGGGAGGAGCTGGGGAGGACAAACCCTTCCAGGCCACGCCCCAGTGACCTCCTCCAATCAGACGCCACCTCCTCACAGCAAGTCAGCTCCAAGCCCTCCCAGTCCAGTCACCTTCCCCAAGCCTCGCCTATGAGATCCTGAGGCTTGGGGGCTCCTAGAGAGAAATCAGAACACCCTTGCTGCCTGTTTTCCCTGCCTCAGTAGCAGGGAGCCGGTGTGCCTGCACCTTCCGCATACGTACAGGACTTCTGGTGCATGGGGGGCCATCTGTTCCATGCTCTTAAGCACCTGCCAGCCAGGGAGCCTCAGATGCTCTTCTTAGATAAGTGGGATTTTTTTCCTCCTTGCAAAAGCACAGAGCTTGCTGGGCTGCAGTCTGTGGGCTGCATTACCCAGAAGGCTGCGCTCTAAGGAAAACCTTCTGCTGGGGCCTTTTGCACTACATGGTTTCGTGCACTTGTTTATTTCACAGGCAGCTTTTTAAATCATTCTTTTGGGCTAGAAACATATTTCCACCTAAGATAATAGATGGAAATGTGAGCTGGGTACCGTTCCCAAGTGACATCAGCATATGTACCCTGTTTCCTCCTGCATCCCACACCCCCAGCCTTGCTATTTTACTTTTCCAAGTTCTTCTAGTTACAAGGAGGAAAATGTAAAAAGAAGACGTTACCCCATAACGTACCTCTTACTCAGCACGCTCCCCTTGAGCTCACGGAGAGGGTGGAGAGGCCCCAGGCCCCAGTCCTCCTGCTTTGCGCCCACCGGCAGGAGCACCCCATTTGTGCCTGTGTCCTCCTCCCTTCCCACTGCCACCGGGGCCCTCAGAGGGCTCCCACAGTTTTCCAAGTTGCCTTAAAATGCACCTTCCTCACTGCAACCAGAGGTATGGCTCCACAGCAGCTTGCTGGGCACACCGCGTCCTGCTTCACCCTTCAGTGATGCCCCGTTACCCCTGGAAACTTCCAGCTCTGTACCATGGCATCCACCACCCCTTCCTCCGATACTCTGGGTGGTTCCAGGCCATTCCACCAAGGCGCGCGGCTCCTTCATCTTCCCGAGATGTCCTTGCCCTCCTTGTCTACCTGGAGAACTCCTAGTCCCTCCTTAGGATATGGCTCAAGCATGGCTTTCCCTGGGGAATACACAGCCCCTCCCAGGCCGAAGCTGATTGTGTCCTCAGGAGCTGCATACCACCCCTTCCGGGGCCCTCAGTGGCTCTGATAGCTGCTGTCTTTCCTGCTGATGTGAACGGGATCGTATTGCATGCTTCCCTTTATGCCTGCCTTTCCACTCAACATTACATGCATGAGCGTTATCCACCTTCCTACGTGCGGCTGGATCCACTCATTCTCCTTGCTATGTAATGGTCCCTAAAGTGCAGTACCCACTCCTCTCTGAGTGCCAGGGTTTGGCTGCTGTGAACAGAGCCGCTATGAACACTGACAAATGTCTTCTGGTGAATGTGCACAAATTTCTACGTGGAAGGCACACCCAGGAGTGGAAATTCTGGGTCAGGATGTGCACAGGCTCCGCACACAGAACAGTGAGTGATTACACCCATTCGTACTTCTGTCCACAGGACGTGGGCCTTCTGGATCTCCAGGACCTGGTTTTGTGTTTTTCATTCTGACCATTCTGATTGACGGAGGGGTATGTCTCCACTTGGTTTTCATTTCCATTTCCCCTAACAGCGAGTAAACCTTACCACCTTTTCATAGGCTTATTACCCATTTAGATGGCCTTCCTTGGGTGCAACTGTATGTTTCTTCTCCACATCCTTCTATGGAACAGTGTGCCCTTTTCATATGGACTTCATATGGACTTGTGGGAGTTATTTTTATAGTCTGGTGAAAACAGTGATTAGATAAACATTCTGCACATAGCTCCTCCCATCCTGTGTGTTATCTTTGACTCTCTCAATGGTGACGCTTGATGAGCAGAAGTTCCTAATTTTATTTTATTTTTTTTCCTTAAATTATTTTATTGGTACATTTTAGGTATACAATATGTTTACATTTATCTTTGGGTGCCTGTACCTGTACATGATGTATCTTGGTTCCTATTTTTTCCCCATTACCTGTGCACCCTTCACCCCCTCTACTCTTTCATATTTACATAGACTTTGTTTCCATTTTTTTCTTTTCTCGTAATTTTTTCTTTCCCTTCTTTCCTTTCCTCTTTCCCTCCCACCATCCCTACCCTTTTGGACCTTTTCCTATTTCAAATTATCAATTATTTATTATTAATCCTTTTAATCCTTATTTACACTTTCAGTTTCTCACACTAGAGAAACTATTCGGTATTTACACATGTGTGTCCTATTTATTTCACTTAAGAGTATGGCCTCAATATGCATCCATTTAGCTATAAATTACTCTAGTTTCTCATTCTTTATGGCTGAGTAGTACTCCATTTTATAAAAATACCACATCTTCTTTGTTCAGTTTCCAGTTGATGGGCAATTGGGCTGTTTCTAAGCTTTAGCCATTACAAACTGTGCCACTATAAACATGGGTGCACATATATCTCTGTGGTATGATTCTTTAAATTCTTTTGGGAAGATCCCCAGCAGCGGAATAGCTGGGTCAAATGGAACCTCCAGTCCTACTTCTCTGAGGTATCTCCACACTGATTTCCACAGTGGTTGCACCAGTCTGCACTCCCAACAGCAATGAAGAAGGGTTCCCTTCTCCCCACAACCCTGCCAGCATTTGTTATTGGTTGATTTCTTGATAGCAGCCATTCTTTGTGGGGTGAGGTGGAATCTCAGTGTTGTTTTCATCTGCATCTCTTGAATGACCAGTGATGTTGAACATTTTTTCATAGGTTTATTTGCTGCTTTTACTTCTTTGTCTGAGAAATGTCTGTTCATTTCAGATGCCCATTTTTGAACTGGGTCTTTGAATTTGGGGGGTCTGATTTTTTTGAGTTCTTTATATATTCTCGATAGTAGTCCTTTGTCTGAGGTACAGCTGCTAAAAACTTTTTCCCCACATTGTAGGTTGTCTCTTAGCTCTGTTGGTGGTTTCTCTTGCAGTCCAGAAGCTTTTTAATAAGATGAGATCCCAGTCTTTGATTCTTTCTGCTAGTTCCCATGCTATTGAGGTTTTGTTCATGAAGTCTTTTCCTATGCCAATATAGAAGTTCCTAATTTTAATGTCATAACCAATATTAAATTTAATGTAACATATCAACCACATCAATTTTTTTCCATCAAGGCTACTGTCAATCTCTGTCTACTTCAAGATCAGGAAAAGTCCATAATTTTTTTTTTCTCTACAACCTAGTTGTCTTACTTTCCATGCTTAGATGTTCAACCCATCTGGAATGGTAGGCTTTGTTTTTTTTTTTACTTCTATTAGTACATGTTTGCAGTATATAATGATTACATTCACTGTAGGGAATAGGTACATGTGCATAACACATTCCAATTCCCTTCTTTTTCCCACTCCTCATCCCCTTTTATTTCTTCAGCATCAGATTCATTTATTTATCTTATAAGACCTTATAAAGTTGATTATCACATATACAGATTGAAAATCAAACTAGTAGGCTAAAGAACATATAAAACATGTAAGACAATTGTATTAAGCCAAGGTACGTTTTTAGATACATTGTCTGCACTGGATTATAATAGCTTTTTTTCTTTCTCTTTTTTCCTGTATCTGTCTTTAATTTCATTTTATATGTAAGTTTTCATATAAGAGAAACTATGCAGTATTTAAGCTTGTGTGTCTGAGTTACTTCACTTAACATTATGGTCTCAAGGTACATCCATTTTCCTACAAATGACTCAAGTTTTAAGATTAGTCTTTCTATGGCAGGGTGGTATTCCACATTTTTCAAAACCCTGGAATAATGGTTTTGTTTGGTGTGAGGTAAGGATCATGGCTCATTTTTCCCCATGTGGAGATCCAGTGGATCCAGCACCATCTACTGAAAGATTGCCCTTCCCCATAGCCTTGAACACCACCTCCAAAGCATTTCAGGCAGCCACGGTTGTGTTAACGTATTTCTGGACTCCATTTGTTCTATTGGTCTACTTGTCTCTCTTTGCACCAGTTGCCCCTGCCTTTGCTGTTGCAGATTTCAACAGGCCACAATACTGGCACTATGAGTCTGCCAGTTATTCTTTTTTTGAAACTTCCTCCCCAAATCGGAAACAAGGTGAAGTTATCCCTATAATGTCACTTATACTCAACTCCGTCTTGGCAGTCCTAGGCCACATGGTAAGGCAGGGGAGAGAAGGTATGAAGGTTGGAAAGGAAGGAAGGAAGGAAGAAAGAAAGAAAGACCATTAGTATCTGTAGACATGATTGATAATAAATGATTTCAGCAAGGCTACCAGACACAGGGTTAATATATATATAAATGTCAACTGTATTTCTACAGATCAGCAGCAAACAGAAAATAAAAATTTCTGATACTACAATTTGCATAAAAACTATCAAGTGACACAACTCCACTGATTGTTACAAAAATTTATTGAGAAATTGTAAAAGTCACCTAGATAAATGGAAAATCAACTAC